GACGGATACGATCGACTCCTTCCCTAATTAAGTAATATCCCACCCGAACGGCCAGGGTCCATTCGGGTCCCACAACGGATAGCAGCGATCGGTTAGAAGGGAAAAAGGGAAATATCAGTAGAATACGACTGATTAGCAGCATCAGAGATATCAGTCGTATCCGTCGCATAATGTAAATAAGATTTTTAATTATAAATAAGGGCCGAAAAGGCCCTTCGGGAAGAACAACTTCCTCTTTGCAACCAATACATAACACATTTAATACATAATCACTTATAAAAACCGCTTGTCGATAATAACAAACGGATAACTTTATTAAAATAAAATGTTTTTACGTAACCTGTCTCTCATACCAACCCGAAACATTCTGTACCAGTAGATCCAACCTTTACCAAACGAACCACTCGACAAATCTAATACGTCTCTTTCGACCCAAATTACCCTCCGACTGATTGGCGACTGACTCACCGTTTTCCGATTACAACGGAAAAATCAATTCCCAATATAATTATGTGTATCGATATTGTATTATATCTTACATCATATTATCTACAAATTTGCCTGCAAATTTTTGAAAAACGCACTTTCTTAGACAAATCATGTGTAATTATAAAGGTATACAATGTCATAAGCAAACAAAATCACCGACTGAGGGTTTCTGCAAATATCATATTAGCAATGCATTTACCTCGTGTCCTTTGAATTCTTCGTTTACTTTCTGAGGCCTTTAGAAGCTCTTTGAATCACATCGGACTTACAACTCAACTTCGCCAAGCAAGATATAAGACATATGGGGTTAAAAACATAATATTTGACAAAGATGATTGGGTACCTGCGTGCAGGCAAATTTACTAGAGATGGCGTAAGGAATAAAAAGTTAACACAGATTCTACTCAAATAAAAGGGTAATTCTAATATTGCCTTGCAATCCAGTACTGTAATAAGAATTGAATCATTCAATTGCATTAGTGAAAGGAATTGAATGGTTGATAGATCATATGTTAATTTAGTATGATTTTATTTGCTATTTCCTCCAACTTATATACTGTATGATTTTTTTTATAGTATACAAGCATCAGCCTCATTAGTTTACGACATGCCTAAAGACATGCAATCATGAAATTACAGCAGCATGTAGTGCACAGTTTTTAAATGACATACCTCACATCACAAAAATTTTCAGTGCGCCAGAACCTAATCCTGGGTAGTTAGAATTTTTCTATCGCAACGTGTATGTGAAATTTTGCCGGCGATTTGAATAAGATACGATGCACACTGTACGAAGACAAAAACCAAATATATAAATAATCTACAAACCTTAAGCATTCGGGCAGGTTTGACACAGATAATAATTTCTATAAATGTTCATTTGTCCTTAAATATTAAGTTTATTGCCTTGAATTCGTAGTTGCAACTTGTCTAGAAAAATTAAATAAAATTCTTTATGTGTTTGGTATAATGAATGAGCTGTATTTAAATCTACCTCATACCCATTTTAAAAAAGGCGAAAATTACTTAAAAAAAGCGCATGACCAAAAAAGTCAAAACCTTGAATATTCAGTTTTGTTGTTTCAAAAAGCTATTAATGACCTCGAAATAGCCCATGAAAAATATCCAACTATTAGTAAGATCAAGGAAATCTTAACAAAGGCACGCGAAGATTATGGAGAGGTTTTAAAAGAACCAAATTCACCCGGAAGGGGTCATTTGATAAATGAAAATAAATTTTTTAAGAAAGATTATACTCCGCCCTTGAATAAAGATGATGAACCTAGCAATACTCAACAGTTGGCTTGTGAGCTACGCCGAAATGATATATCAGACGGGCAAAAGGAGAATTTACGCACATTGGCGCGAGAAATTATTGAGGAATTTGCTAAAAGAAATTCTATAGAGTCAAAATTTGTACATAAAGTAATGGTGTTATCATATTTGCCAGATGCCGAGGAAGAAATTTATAGAAATTTAGTGAATATCTTCATTACTAAAATTAAAGAATCGGTTTTTTTATATCCATCATTATTGGAAGGTTTATCTTATGTAATCAGTCAGGCAAATCCAAAACACCTAAAGCCTAATGATTTGGTTCGCATTTTAGAAATATTAAATGAGCAATTTAAAAATCTTCATAGCCAAGATAAATATCAACAGATTGAAATGACACGAACATTGGGGCAATTATTTGATGTAATGGCTGATTGTAAAGTACGGGATCTTAAATATGAAGTATTATGCAAACCATTAAATAAAACTTTTAAAAAACTAAGTAGTGATAATAATCAAGAACTAGCTTATCTCGCAGACTACGCCTGTCAAGCTTTAAGTTGTATACCAAATGATGAAAGTCCGTGGAAAGCATTTCGCAAAGTTCTTCTAGGTATAGCAAAATTGGCAGGTGCTATTAAAAACATAGATCCAGGAAAGCTACCAGATATTTTCAAGGATCTTAGTGAAGGTTTCGACAGTATTATAAATATGGCAGTAAATTTGGTTAAGGCGATTCAATCAGTCAAAGAGGGAGTTGGCGATATAAAACAGAACTTCCGTCGGAAGATCCAGCGAGAATGGTATTGGGCATTACGATTTACCGATTTATTTGTCCAAAGTTATAAATTTAAAAGCTTGGAACAGTTTATTTACAATATTCCGTGTCGACAAGATGAAAAATTTTTGTGGGGCTTATGCGAACGGCTTAAACGATTGGCAGCAGATTCCAAACTTGATACTGACTTTCGTGAAGGTGCCATTGAATTTTTAAGTAATGTTTGTCAAAATAAAGAATTTTGGGGAGTCCATCTGAAACTAGATGAATGGATCTTAGAACAAACTACCTTACTTAATAGTGTTTTATCGTTAGATAAATGTGTGCGACCCACTCAGCAGAATGACTTGAAAAAAAGTAGAGTAGAATTGTCAACTCAATTAAATGGATTAAAAGGCCAATTTTTTTCAGACTTAGATGATGAATGTGAAGAAGCCTTGGAATTGTATGTCAAACCACAGGGAACATGGAAAGTATCAATTATAAAGTCATCAGATTCTGGAAAAGAAATGGTTTCTGAAAACAGAGAAGGTGATGTAGAAGAAGTAGTTAATAGATTTTTAGAATCAAAGGATAAACTGACTTCAAACGACAAAGAAACTTTGGAGGTAGCTGCCAATGAGTTAGTCAATAGATTTTTAGATTACAAAGAAGCTTTGGAGGTAGCTGCCAATGAGTTAATCAATATATTTTTAGAATCAAAGGATAAACTGACTTTAAATAACAAAGAAACTTTGAAGGTAGCTGCTAATGAGTTAGTCAATAGATTTTTAGAATCAAAGGATAAACTGACTTCAAACGATAAAGAATCTTTGGAGGCAGCTGCCAATAGATTTTTAGAATCAAAGGATGGATTAACTTCAATTGGCAAAGAAGTTTCAAAAGCGGTTACCAATAATTTGAACAAAATTACTAATAAGCTTTTGAATGAAACTATAATAAAGACAGTTAATAGTTTTTTTGCTCTAGAAAATCAATTAACTTTAGAAGATGAAAGAGTTCTAGACAAGGCATCCAATAAATTTTTGGATTTAAAAGTTAATAAAGTTCTAGAGCTTGAGAAGACAATAACCAACAAATTTGTGTATTCCTCAAAATATAAAGAAGACCTAATAATGGCGTTGATTAATATTTTGAAGGAGAATCCAAAAATCATAGAGGATGTAGATGTAGAATTTCTGAAAATAGAAGCAAATAAATGTCTAAACTTAAATGATAAAAATGTTTTTGAAAGTGCGGTGAATAAACACCTAGCTTCTAAAGCCAGGAAAATTTTAGAAACAACTGTTAATAAAATGGTTGCCTCAAAATGTAAAAAGGTACTAATGATATTGGGTATAGGGGGTACGGGTAAATCAACTTTTGGCCGTTACCTTGCTAGTCGTCTATGGGACGAATACGACCATTTATCACCTATTCCGTTATTTATACCATTAGCGCGGCTAAAGTATGGAATGTTTAATAAAAATGAAGATTTTATTGAACTTTATCTAAAAGAATGCAAATTATCTTTGGACAAAATTGAGGATTTACGGAAAAGAAAGTTCGTATTTATCTTAGATGGCTATGATGAGATTGTTGAACGTGAACGTGAATGCTACTTTCAAAATAAATTTTGTGGATGGATAAATGCAAAAATTATTATTAGTTGTCGACCAGAGTATTTGGGTTTAGGTTACCAAAAAAGGTTCTTTCCCGTAAATAAAGAAAAAGGATTTCAGGAATTGACAATTAAAGCATTTTCAGAAAAAGAAGTAAAACAATATATTACAAAATATGTTCAAAAAGAAGGTAATTTGAGTGAAGATATATATTTACAGCAAATAAAAAAGATACCAGAAGAGTTAGTTAGCAATCCAATTCTATTAAAGATTACCTTGAATGTCTTACCACGCTTTATAGAACAAGAGAGAACAGAACAAATAAATCGTATAGCTTTATATGATGAATTTTTAAAGACATGGTTTGACCGTGCGCAAGATCGTCTGTATAGAACTGGCAAAACAGAGAAAGAAGAGGAAGCATTTAAAAACTTAAATATTAATGATTTTTCAGAATCTTGTCTACAATTTAGTAAAAATTTCGCCGTTGAAATGTTTAAAGATAATAATAATGTGGTCATAACGTATAATTCATATTATTCAAAGTGGGCAACCTTTTTAGCCGATGATGATATTAAGAATTCCTTGTTGCGCTTTAGTTTGCCATTAATCCGGCGTGAAAATCAATATTGGTTTTTTCATAAAACCTTGCGAGACCACTTGATTGCTCGAGCATTTCTAGAATCGTTAGAATCTCCATTGCACGCAACACAATCTTCACAACATGCAGCGCTTTTCAAAGAACAATCATTTGTTCTGGAGCACGGAGTTAGACAATTTTTAGTTGAACATATCTCTCAAATGGAATCCTTAAAACCAAAACTAGTGGCTTTTATTGAAGCTTCTAAAAAAGATGATGGAATTCAAATTGCTTCTGCTAATGCTATTACAATTTTAACACAGGCTGATGTATTATTAAATAATTTAAATGATGCTAATATTTCGGGAGCTGATTTGAGTAATAAGATATTTAATAATTTGCAGGCGGAAAGAGCTAAATTGAATAACGTAAATTTTCAAAATGCAAAATTTAAAGATGCAAATCTCCGAAGTGCAAGCTTTCAAAATGCAAGGCTTCAAGATGCAGATCTACAAAGCTCATCTCTCCAAGGTGCAAATTTCCAAAATGCAAATCTCCAAAATGCAAATCTCCAAAGTGCAGTTCTCTCATTTGCAGATCTCAGGGATACAATTCTTCAATATACGAATTTTGAGAATGCGAAGCTTCAAAATACAAACGTCCGAGGTTTGTCTCTCCAAAATACATATTTTGAAGGTGCAGATCTCTCATTCGCAGATCTCCAGAATACGATTCTTCAAGATGTGAATTTTAGGAATGTGAAACTTCGAAATGCAAGTCTTCAAAACGCATATATTAAAGACACAGATCTCATATTTGCAGATCTTCAAAATACAGTTCTCGTAGATATTAATTTCCAAGAATTGAGTATCAAAAATGTAAATATTGATGAGGATGAGTACAAGACATTCGTTCATCACAAAAAATCAGCAGATATGGGCGATGCTATTGGAACATGCAACGTTGGTTATTGTTATCAGAATGGAATTGGTGTTGAAAAAGATGAACATAAGGCTTTTATATATTATCAAAAATCAGCTGATATGGGTGATGCTAGTGGTATATATAATGTTGGTTATTGTTATCAAAATGGGATCGGTGTTGAAAAGGATGAACAAAAGGCTTTTATATATTATCAAAAATCTGCTGAAATGGATAATACTAATGGGATATGTAGTATTGGTTATTGTTATCGCCACGGGATCAGTGTTGAAAAAGATGAACATAAGGCATTTATTTATTATTTAAAATCTGCCGATATGGGCGATGCTTGTGGAATGTGTAATGTAGGACATTGTTATCAAAATGGAATTGGAGTTGAAAAGGATGAATATATGGCATTCGCTTATTATCAAAAATCTGCAGAGATGGGTTATTCAAACGGAATGTATCAAGTTGGCTATTGCTATCGGAATGGCAAAGGAACATCTCAAGATTTCGAAAAAGCTACTGAGTGGTTACGTAAGGCAAAGGTTAATAAACGTAGAGATGAAACTAAATCTTACACCGAAAAATTTTTGTGTGAAAGCGAATATCGAGTGCCACAAATTCCATTTAAAGAAGTAGAAATTTATGGAAAAATTGGCGAAGGGGGACTTGCAAATGTTCATTTAGCACGGTGGAAATCTGACAGTTTAATACAACCCGTTGCAATTAAATCGCTTCACAAACAAAAGGAAGGCTATTCAGAGGTAAATGCTTTATATTGATGCATTTTACACTTTTAATTTACTAATTCTTATTCCATATTATAAGATAAATAAGTTCTATAGTATCGCATCTAAAAACCCTACATTTTTACAATGTCATGGTTTATTAAAAGATGATACCGGTGATTGTATTTTAGTCATGCAGTATACAAGAATGGGAGCTTTATCTGAAAATCTTTGCAATGTTGCGAAGATGGATTGGGTTAAAAAACTAAATTTATTATCTTGCATTGCATTCGACCTTCAATCAATCCACTCGCATAATGTTGTTCATTGTAATTTGCATAGTGGAAATATATTTCAGGATGATTTATATAATGCTTATATTGGAGGTTTTGGTATTGCAAGATCAATCAATGAAAGTGCAAGGTCAATCAATGAAAGTACAGGATTAGTCAATGGAAGTGATAAAAATAATTCAAAGATCTATGGTGTTATTCCTTATGTTGCACCTGAGGTTTTATCAGGTCAAAAATACACATTCGCTGCTGACATTTATGGATTTGGAGTTATCATGTCTGCGATATCAATTGGAAAAAGACCTTTTGATGGACATGATTTGAATACTGATCTTGCACTTAAAATTTGTAATGGATTACGACCAGAAATTTCATATGGAACTCCGAATTGCTATATTGAATTAGCTAAGCAATGCATGAACTCTAATCCACAAAAACGACCTTCTATTGATAATATTTTGAAAACACTTAACGAGTGGAATGCAATAATGAAAGATTCAGATGAAAATGCAAATGAAATTAAAATAGTTAAAACGTCGCCAACTATCTCACCCAAACCTTCTATTGAAACACTAAACGAATGGAATGCAATAATGAAAGATTCAGATGAAAATGCAAATGAAATTAGAAAGCAATTTTTGAAAGCAGATAAAATAGTTAAAACGTCGTCAATTATCTCACCCAAATCTTCTATTAAACCACTTAACGATTGGGATGCAATAGTGGAAGATTCAGATTATTGTTGTTAGGGCAAACTATTTTTGGTAAATGGCAAAAGTCAAAACTGGCAAAACTCTGGCAAAACGGCGAAAATCCGGCAAAACACCTGATAAAGCTAAAATTCTCGAAGAAGGTCAAGCACTGCGAGGTTCAACTCCTCTAAGCTTTGAAAGACTGAGCCACATTGGTGAATCAAAATATTTTGTGTGGTTATTAAGCACAACATGTGAATTATGTACAAATGTGCAAAAGTAATAAACAAAGCGATGCCTTTCATTGTATTTGAGTATTATTAAAAGAAAACTAGACTTCAGACTTTTGAACTAATAAATCAATTTAGCTGTGAAAGTTCAAAATCTGAAATTCTGTTTTCTTTAATTAATGCTTATCCATGTATTAATATTATTTGTATAAATAAACTTATCTGAATTTTTAAAAAATTTATTATTATATTGTTAAGATTTTTTTTAGCATTTCATTGTCAAAGCTTTAATACACATGTAAGTAATTTGTTAATATTATTACTACTTGTAATTATTTTCTGATACTTATATTAGATCAAATATATTAAATTTTAATATTATAGTTAATGTTAAAAATATCTAATGCTGAAATTAAATCTATTTTTATATAAATGATTTAAAATTTTTATGAGCATTTTTTTTTTAAGATTTGAATTGATAATTAAAGAATATATGTGAATTTTACCAGAGTTTGAATTTGAGTAATAGGTAGAGAAAATCAGAATATTTAAAAATAATTTTTTTATACAAAGAATGTGAACTTTAATACAATATAGAACAATCTGATTCAGAGCAAATAACATATAATTCTAATTTTTTATTTATTTTTTTTAAGTTAAAGTTCTTGCTTTTGAGGATGATTGGTTTTATTCAAATATTTGAACACAGATGTCTACAGGGATATTCATATATAGGAGGTTACAACTAGTCACATGTGCACTTTTGGTATCTAATTTAAGTAGTTTGCCTATATATTACTATACAAGTTCTATACTAGGTGTCATACCTGCAAGTCAATTATGGGTCTTACCTATTTAAACTCTCTGCATATTAGTCTAACTTGTATCATAATAACATCTTCTGAATTATACCAGTCAAAGTACACAAATATATTATTCTCATTTGGATGTCTAATGTTAGAGAGGTTTTGGATTTACAGTATATAGGATCAAGAAAAATGTGATAGATTGTTGTTTATAAATACAAAACATAGTGAAATGTTGTGCTATAAAAGAAGCAGAACAATTTGAAAAGACTAAGGCATGAGTACAAGGTTTTGGTTTATTATTATTATAGTTTTTATTATTATTACTATTAATATTCACTATTTCTATTTTTAGTTAACTCTTTTTTTCCAACTTAAGAAAGATAGATGCACTTATATACAAAAATGGTATCCTACCAAAAGAGATGGCAAAGGAATCTAAGATCAATTATTTTCTTACTAAACTCAATAGTTTCAGATTTATTATTATAATTAGGATATTGAATGATTTTCTATAATATAAACAACTACTCTAATCTAGCAGATCTATCTCAATAAATGGTTATAATTTCTGATTTTGTATTATTACAACATTGTTTCAATTGGGTAACTTGGCTTCCAGTTCTCAAGACACAATTGATATATGATAGTTGGCTTATTTAAAAAATGTTTTTGTTGTAAGAGGTATGGGTTAGAATGGTACTAGGTTAGAGTAACTTTGGTATTTGTTTATTTTTAATACTAGTTATAATGTTTATAAAAAAACTTTATAGGAATAGTACATGCTGTTTGTACTCAAGATTAATATCTCTCTTAAATGCTCAGATGAGCTTTTAGTTCTTTTATGTATTTGTTATCTTTAGACAAATTTTTTTAAGTATTTTGATAGCATTAGTATATAACTGAATTCATTGTGCAATAAACAGCCCAAAAAAAAATCAAAAGAAGAAAAAAAAATCAAAAAGTTTTAAAGAATTTTTTGGGTTTTCTCATCTTCTCTTTTTCTTTTTTTCATTATTATAGATCTAAATTTCTATATTACAGAATGTTTATGATTATATGTTTGTTATTACTTTATTTGCTTTTTGTTTTCTTTTTCTATTTACTACATTATGAAATATACATAGTTGTAAGCTTATAGTTTTTTTCAACTGTTGTAGAATGTTTACAGTTATAGGTTTTTCATTTATCTTATTTTATATTAGTCACTATTTGATTATATATATATATATATTTAGCAGCTATGCTAGTGTTTTATTAAGATTTTTGAAATTATTATTACAATTACATAAATATATCTAACAACTAAATCTAGTATTATCTGGCTATTCTAATAACACCTAAATGCAATTTATTATATTATTTTTAGCAGAAATAAGATGCTTATTTAACTATCTAAAGTCTATAATAAAAAGGTTTTTTTATTTATAACAAGCTTTCAAATTATCTTTTTAACTTTCTCTTCAATTCATTTTTTTTTTTTTTAAATTTTTTTTTTCTTCTTCTATTTTTTACTAACTAGTCTTTCTCTTTTTGCTTAAATTTTTCTTCTTCTTCTGTTTTTCTTTTTTTGTTTTACTTATTATTTCTCTTTTTTTTTTTTATATATTAATTTTTTTACAACATATTTTCTAGACTTGTTTGTAAAAGGTATTCCATACTATCTCTACTACTATGTTCATAAACTGTTGTCTTGCTCTTGTATACAAAAATTTTAATAATCTGTCTTATATTGCTTTTGGAATTAGGTCTTTAATTAGTGTTTTTCTTATTTCTATTTTATCTCTTATTGTTTTTCAAAAATATCATATATAATATATAAGATAAAACCTGAGTTTTTTCTTTTTCTTTTAAACCTTCCATACTGTTGTAATAGATACTTTTTGTATTCTTTTTTAAAGATTTGCTTATCCCTTACAAGATGCTAAATGTTCTTATATTTCTTTGGATTTGCTTTGATAGACTTGATATTTTGTCATTATGTATATATCTAAGTTTCTTCTGTTAAGTTCTTTTAGAGTTGGAAATTTGTTCAATATATATTTCATAAAAGCACTTCTTCTTGTACTATTTCTTCTTGTTATATAATATATTTAATTAGATAACTTCATCTTCTTCAAAAATATATCTAATCAATTATTATTTTTATTAATAATTCTATATTCTTTATTACTATTATTTTTTTTCATTCTATTCTTAGTCTGGTATTTGTTATTATTTTATATAAAAGATTTACTGATAGATCTATTCACTTATTTTTTTACTTAAGACAGTAACTATCTATTTATAGCTAACTTTTTCTAGATATATTTTCTTTTTATTTAATATTTCTTTCTTTGCAAAACTATTAGCTTTATTATTTTATTTATTTTTATAATAACTTTTATTTTAATCACTCTATCTGTATGCTTTTTGTTCTAATTACATTAATTAACTTTAATATCTAATATTGACAACTATTTTTTATTGTTTCTTTTTCTCTTATATACTTCTTGTATTTGTCAATTTTAGTTATTAAATTATTTTCTATATTATGTACCTGCCAGTGTTTTATTAGTAGCTTTTTTTTCTTCTTTTTAATTAATTTTTCTAATTGCCTATTATCTATTGCTTTATAAATTATCTATTTTTTTTTTCTATCCTTTAACTGACTTCTTTATTTAATCTTCATTATTTATATATTATATCTGCCAGTTTTAAATTATTTTTTAACTTTTTTGCTTTTATATCTATTAAATATTTTTGTTTTTATTATCTTGAACCTCTCTGTTTTTTTGTTTTAATTAATGTTTCTGATAGCTTTTAAATTACTACCATGTTATTGGTCTTTTTTTTTTATTGAATAGCTAATTTAGATATATTAGTCTTGTTTTATTTACAGTTAGAGTTTTACTAGTTCAATTATTCTAGGATTTAACTATTTGCTATTTATAATTCACTTTCTATACTTATGTTTATTTTTAACTTTTTGCTTTAACTATTGTTAGACAGACTAAATTGTTCTTTTAATATAATTTGTTTTTTAATAATTTTTATATTTTTCATAAATCTTTTGTTAAAATTACTCTTTACAACTTTATATTATTCTTAACTTTATTAGCTGCTATAATTTATTTTTTCTATTTAGTCTTGCTACTAGGCCTCCTATTTGTTTTATTATTAGTTCTTGTTACAAAATTATGCAACTGCCTAGATTCTTATATTTTATTATACAATTTTCCAATGTTCTTGGTAAGTTGTTATTTTTTTTACCAAACATATAATTGGCTAATGTATTTCATTTATCTCTTTCTCTAATATCTTCATTAATTGCAATATATAGCTTAATTTTAGTATTATTACCATATTTTTTATATATGCAATCTGGCTTATTGTTATTTTTTTATACTTAAGATCTCTTATTTTCTAACTTATTATTTCTTTTACTTTTTTTTTTACTAAAACTTCTCAAATTTTATTATTTAGTCAGATTTCTAATGAATAAGCAAACTTGTTTCTTGGCTCTTCTTTTATTTTACTTTCTTCAAAGATTATTTCTTTTTTTTTTTAACTTTATTATTTATTATTATCAGTTTTGATTAGATCTATTTATTTTTATATAATTCATTTTGAAGAACTCTTCTACTACCTTTAGTTCTTTATTACTTACAATTCATGTTGTATTATTTATATATACAATTGCTGTTTGGCATTGTCTTATAATATTGTTATAATGAATTTCTTCTTTAGTCTTTTGTTCTACTATATAGTCTAATCTTTTATTTTTCTGTATTTTTCTAATAATAAATTATAGAAAAGACATTATATTAATAGTAATATCACTTTATCTTGATCTATTTCATCTTTTGTTATTATTTTTTCTGTTAAACTGTAAAGTGTAATTATTTTAAGCTATCTTTTATAAAAAAGATTTAAGATATACTTAATTGTTATTTTGAGATTGTAACTCTTTGTAGAACTAGCTCAAAATTTTTAAACAAAACTAAGTTAAATACCTTTTCTATATTTTATAAAAGTATTTATAATTTTTTATTTTTTTCTTTTGCCTCTTTTATTATTATATTTAGAATATGTATTGGTTATTCTATCAAATTTACTAATAAGTTTGCATAGTTTGGTCCTTTAAGTATTTTTTTTTGAGTAACTCTTTCTATAGATCACTTATACCAAATTTTTGCTAAAACATTTAATTATTTCTAAGTATTTTACTAAATAAATCTTACTTTTATCCTTAAATAAAATTATTCAATATACTTTTTTGTTTCTGGCAGCCAAGTTTAAAGCTTTAATAATATCTGGTCATTAAGAAATATTACAAAAACCAACTTTAGGTTTTTGCTTATTTGCTTATAATTTTACTAATTAAATATATTCTGCTTACTATTAATATTTTGTTAAACTCATCAAAATAAATATATTGATATATATTTTATCACAAATAGACAAATACTCATTAAATTATCAAGAAAAAAGCAAAACCAAAAACTTGTCATTGCAGTTTTATTCAAAGGCAATTTAGTAAAATTTACAGGAGTGCCTTAGAAAATTCACTTTTTTTGTATCTATTAAAATTTTTTAACTAACTAATTACCTTCTTTGATCATTCTATATTTTTCAGATCTTTCT